ACTTGCAGGAATTAGGGATCAGATTTGTACCGTTTCCTGCAGCCCTGCAATGGGCCCCTGCTGCCACCAGGGGGAGCTCCAGGCTCCCCTTGGGTGCTAGCCCAGGGGCTGGCAGGGAGTAGTCTCCTGGCCCCGGGGGCTGCCTGTTGCTGAGGTGAGAACAATGTCCCCCTGCCCTTGCATCAGGGAGCTCCTGGTTCTGGCTCAAGGAGGGGCAGGTCGCTGCTAGCTGCCCCACCGGCAGATTGGGGCAGGAGGCTGGGACCTACCTCACCCCTACAGCTCCATGCAGGCCCCATGCCTCAATCACCCGATCAGGGCATGGGGCTACAACCTGCCCCTGACCAGGACAGTTTCCAGCCAGCCCTGCGCTGTGCATGTGCAGCCTGGAGCTGGCTGGGGCCTGCCCAAAACAGGACAGTCCCCAGCCACCTCCAGGCTGCATGTGCTTCCCCACACAGCCTGGGGCTGGCTGGGGACTGTCAGGGTTTCCCAGTCCCGTGCTTCCCAATCACAATGGCAAAGTGGGGGCTGAGAGATAAGGATCACCCAGCCCCCATTCCCTGATCTCAGTCTCAGGGCAGCGGGGCATAGTTCCTGCTTACACTTCTGTGGCAGAGCCTACCCTGGCAGGGAGCTATCTCCTGCCCCTTGGTGGACAGCTGACTGGGAGCAGAGTTTGTTCCTGGGCAGGTGTCTGCATAAGCGCTATGATGCCATTACTAACGTTGAATACATTTGCTGCTTGCATTTGCAGGTAGCAAATTTACTCGGGATTAGGGAGGTTTACTGCAAAGTAAGTATGTGCATGTTTAGACACACATGCTTATTTAGCAGTAAACTATGTTAATGCAACATTAAACACCTCATGTAGATGCACCCACTATATATAGGCTTGCTGACTTGTGACAAACAAAATTTTAATATAAATAAAATGGGGTTAAAACGACACACAAACTCATAACAAACCTGAAATAGCAGCTGAGAAAATAAATTTAAGATAATTGCCTGAAAAATACTAGGGAAATTTTAATGATATATTTGTATGTTTCAAGAGCCTTTATAAAATTGTGATCTGCTGAGTGTGGTGTATTTATGTTTCTGTGTCTATGACGATTTCTGTTAGTAATTTAGTTTGATATTTTTGTCAGTGCAAATCAAAGTTACATATTCATATAAAATTAGACTGTGTTGGCTCAGTATCTTTTGATAACAAAATGAAATTGTTAAATCTTCATTATTGTAGCACTGGATGAGGAAAGAAAAGAACCAGCATGTGATTGTGTAATAAGATTGTGTTGTAATGCAGATGTCCAAGAGAGCAAAATGAAAGATGCACAGGAACCTGACTTTTGAATGCATGATTTTCCAACCTTGATAATGTTCTCCTAATAACAATTTTTATGTGAAACTTTTTGAGGTTTGTAAAAACAGCAAAATTCCATGATGTTGGAATTATGCCGAATGGAACTGGTTGGAAAATGCTATGATTTTTTTTTCCCTTGGAATATTTGTATGGCTTTTTTCCCTCAGAAAATTAAATCAACAATTGAAAAGATTCAGCCAAAATTCCAAATATTTTAATAAGGATATGCTGCCAACATTCTTCCTGGGACTTGTAGTTCAGTCCCATATCATTATACTCCTTGATGGTTGGTACACCTTGCTCGGATTGCGTTTCCACTGCTGATCTCTGACAGAGTTTAGCTGCCAAACTAACAAGTCTCTGCTGCACATGCCTGGACTGAGATTTTGAAGAGGTTTAAAACTTGATCTTGGGAATAAAAAAAGGCACTTTTCTGAACAAAGATTAACTCTCTTGTCATATTTCAAGCTAAAGTATTGGAAGCACTAGAGTTACTCAGTGAAAGTTGTAAGAATTACTTAACATGGGTGACTAATTTTCCACAGTTTTTTTCTCTGGAATGGCTGAACTGTGTTTCTAAAATTTCAGACTAAGATAGACATCCACCGTAGAAATTATCAGTGTGAACTATTGACATTAGGCAATGTTTTAAACAAGTTTAAAATGGGATTTTAAAATGAAAAAGCAGTAGGCAACTTCACCTAGTTTTTAGTGTTTTAACTGTAGGTGGTTCTACCGGGTGTATGTATAATCAGATATATAAAACAAAGTTGGCTCACATGATTAAGGGAGAACCTAATACAGTGGTTTCATTTTGATTCAGTAATACTGCTTTTCAATTTACTTCACATAGATTGAAGAGGAGAGAAAAAGAAAGAAAGAAGAAGCAGCTAGGAAAAAACAGGAACAAGAGGTAAATTTATTCAAATAACTGTTTAAATTTATATTTAAATGAACATTTGCTTTTTGAAGAAAAGTGTAAATAGCAGTATTTAATGCTCATGAGCATACATTTAAGGCCAGATTTTTAGCTCAGCTTCTGTTGGTCATCCACTGTTCTTGTGTGTAACTTTCTGCTTACAGTTATTTCCCCCTTGCAATTTAGGTTATTTAAATAATCAGTGCTCTTATGGCTTCCATGAAAAGTTAGAAGAGATTTTGCCTGTATCATTTAGTATTTTCTTCCCCCTTTACTGCCATATAGATATGCATGAAAACAGGATATTTGCGCTTCTAAGAGTCCATCTGTTCCTGCTGTTTATGCTTGACATGAAGTCTAATTTTCTATGAAGACACATTCATCTCCACAGCATCTAACTGCAATAGCACAAAGGTTCAAGACTTCAGGTAAAGACCAAGCAGGAAGAGCAGGTGGACCCATCAGGAGCACAGGTCCTGTTTTCATGCGAATAGCTTTAGTAGTAAAATATAGAAAAATAAGCTCACGCAGTGTGCTCTGAAGAGAAAATCATCTGGCATCATTGCATTCAACATAGATTACTTTTAATAATGTTAAGAGCACATTCTTTTCAATTAAGCAAAAGTCTAGTTGTGTCTTTAATATGGTTTATTTACTTAGGTCTGGATCCTGCTCTTGCCCTGTTTGGATCAAGGATGCTCTGTATGGTTAAATGGGTCTTTCTACACTGAGTAGATTAGTAAATTGCCTGTGTTTTTGTTTGTATCTGAAATACAGTACAACAAAAAGCTACATTCAGCTTCTACAGCATGTAAGCTATTTATTCTGGGTGGTTCCAACGCACACTTCTTCTCTTTCTGTCTTAATTGGATCCTAACTGATAAATTGTTTTAAAAAAAGTATTAAGTTCATTTGTATCCTGCCAGACAGATACAGTCAAGATTTGTTCAGAGTTGCCCTTCCTTGCCCGCTTCTTTTCACATAAACACATTTGGTTATAGTGCAATCTGCTTTGCAATTTAGATGTTCTTTATTGCAGTGCATATACATCATGGATAGTTTTCAGGAAAGGACAAATGACCATTTATTTCATTGGGATGGTAAATACTGTTTAAACTTGCAATGCATGTTTTATTTTGTAGGCCGCAAAACTGGCAAAGATGAAGATTCCACCAAATGAGATGTTTAAATTGGAGCAGGACAAATATTCCAAATTTGATGAAAATGTAAGAAATACATGGATTTTTTTCCCTTAGACAGGAATGAAATTCTTATTTCTCATTTGGTCTGTAGGTAACTGATTCTCTTCCTATTAAATGCCAGTAGAGCCCTAAGACAGTGGCCATGGACAGGCATTACATTTGTGCCAGAAGAAAAGCTTTTCTTTTGGAGAAAAAAGAAAGCATACAGCTGTTTGAGGAGTATGATGTGCAAGATAAATGTCTCTTCTGCAAGAGAAATCTTCCTTCTTTGATCAAGAAGAGCTCTCCCCTACTCCATTAACTTGGAACTGTTGTATGCCTCTCTCAGGTATTGAGGACACTCAGTATCCTACAGTCCTCTGCTCTCACTCCCTTAAAGGGAGAGGGAGCGAAGGAGAACATTGGCTCCCTGATAGCTGGTCCTTGGATAGGGTGAGTTATCAGGGAGACTTGTGGGGCCTCTGTCATGAGTGATAGTACCTCAAAGCCACTGAACAGATCTGGAGCACCCCAAGTCTGTGCAAAGGGGTGGGAGGGCATTCCCCCAAACTGCAAACAGCCCCAGACACTTGTCTTCTGCTCCTGGCAAGACCTGGAACTGATTTGGGTATGGGCAGGGAGTAATTTCCACAGGTATGCTACCTCTTTCTTCCATCCTCTGGCCCCAGGTGACCTAGAAAAGTGCCCAGGGTAGGGGGGCATTTCCCAGCAGCAAGAACCTGGGCTCTGGGATGGTTCCTGCCTCACCCTCACCTCCCTGCCTGTTCATCTATGGGGCATATGACCCAGTCGGGGGGGGGGGGCATGGAGGGTTTCTCAGTCTGGGAACCTCCCAAGGCTTTCAGAATGTTCCAGCCCTGGGTATATTTGCCTCCCACCCTGAGCACCTCTCCAGGGTGACCTGGAAGAGTACATGGAGTGGGGGGACATTCTCCTGCAGTGGTAATCCTCCAAGGCTCCAGATGGGTTCCCACCACAGGAGAATGCCCCCCCGCCACCCCTCCAGGGCAAAGGACTGTCTGTGTGATAGCTGCTGCTTTTACTGCAGCTGCTAACTGCCCACTGACAGCCTGACTCTTTTCCTGGTAAGTGGGCTCCCTTAAGGGTGTGGGTGAACCAAAGAGTACCCCTCTAGTACCCCCTGACTAGAGAGCTTGCCTGTATAGTTCCCCAGGCAGGGGGCTAGGACATATGTATACTCTGACTCCCCAGCTATTTTTCTAGCACTAATAATATCACAGAGCTGTTTAGCTTTAGAGATGAACACCTGCCCATGGCCTGAATCTGGTGGGAGATTACATATTTCTTGAACAAGGCGGCCTGTTTTGTGACTGCTTGGGTTTATTTTAACATGCCATGAACTTACCTGAACTGGGTAAGACTTCCCTGTGGATTTTGGGGGTCTGTTGCAGAAACCTCTTAGAATGTCCTGTTGAGAGGCAAAGATTGCACTCTGATAAACAGGGCCTCTAATACTCAAGTTTCCACATATCCAGGGGTCTGTGGCAAATAAACTGGTTTGCTCTGTATCCCTGTGCTTTCCCATTGGCTCTGCCCACTGTGCCACTTTTCTCTGGCAACCCCAGCTCCGTTGGAAGCTTGCCAACAAATTCTCCCTAACCTGCAGGGTGAAGTCAGGTGTTTTCTGAAAAAAGTAATATTATTGCATGTGCAAGGAGTTTCTGTCCTATCTCCTTCCGCTAGGTCACACTGTGGGCAACTGCTGTGTCATGCAGAAGTAAGTCCTTTGCATGCAGGTCATGGAGAGAAAAAAAATCTGAGCTGAAAATTTTAACAGCAGTTTCACAGTACAGTTTATTGCTTTTCTCTTAAAATCTGAGAGGTAGTAAGTTGATCTGTCCTGAATAGTGACCTGAAACGCTTGCACACAAGCCAGCAAATACAATGATAAATTGAGTCACTCAGAGATTTTTGTATCAATGTTACTTTTAATCCTTTCTCCCATCCAGAGCACATGATTCTGATGAAAAGAGAGAACAGAGACCCATCACAAATTCATCAGATTGACTATAGGCAAACAAGGTCTCTGGATGGAATTTTCTAAGATCTTTCTGTTCTTAATATTGCAGGGATTTCCTACACATGACACTGAAGGCAAAGAGCTCAGCAAAGGACAAATGAAGAAACTGAGAAAACTTTATGAAGCACAAGAAAAACTATATGAAGAGTATCTACAAATGGTTCAGAATGGAAGTGCACAATGAGAAGAAAACCTGGACATTCTCTTTTTAGATAAAGGCGAGTGTTGGGTCACCGGTGGGACAGGAATGAGCATAATCAGTGCTCAGATTGTGTTTACACTTTCTACTGTGTGCAAGCTAAAAAAAATCCTAGTTGAAATGGATTAATATATCATCTGGTTTAGGGAGTCAATAAAAATTATTGTTATAAAAAATAACCTGTATAGATGTTTGTATGTCAGTTGTTAGAGTGAATGTTTGCTGGTTCTTTTTGCAAAAATGCTACTTGTTTAGCTAATCCATATCAGGTTTCTTTGTCATTATAGACAATTTGGGCTGTAAGTAATTTGTCATGTATGCCAGTCCTTATCCACGTAATATCCAGGAGTACAGTTTACTAAAGGAAAGCTGATCACTGTGTCCCCCCATAAATATTTCTCAAATGATTTCAATGTTATTTAAGCAGGAAGAGCTGTAAATAGTTCAACCCTGATGCTTCTGTTGCCCTTACTAGAAACTCAAAATATACACACAGAAAAATCTGTTGTATATGCTAACAGTCACTTCCATAGGGTTAAACTGTCACAGCCCTTACTCACCTATGCATAGGAAGAAGCCCCATTCCACTAACTTCTTCCCCTGCTTAGGTTGTGATTTCAGTCACAGAGTTAAATGCAGGGATTACTCACCAGCTGTGAACAAGCCAAGAGAAGTAATCCTTGTCCCTGGCACTGGAAAAGGGAAGAAGGGTCCTCTACAAAAAAGGATGAACTAACTAGCTAGCTCAAAGGGGCAGTAAGAGTAGAATTGTGTGACTGAGTTGGGATATTTGTTGCTTGATCAACTCTTGGAAGCAATTTGGCTATGCACTTGCTCTTGCTCAGGTCAGGCTTAAAAGTCACAGGCCAGCCAAGGGTTAAGAAACAAATTTGTTTGCAATGTGGCCACATAAAAAAAAAAAAAATCTGCCAAGAGAGTCCTGTGCTACTATTTCACTTACAGTGCATGGTACCTGTTAACCCATTTTACACACAGGAAAACACTTTTCTCTCTCCCTCTCCCTCTGTCTCTCCCTCTGTGTCTCTGTGTTAAAAATCACAGAGAAGGTCAGTAGAATGAAAAACACAAGTCAGTAGAATGAAAAATTAAACTTGGATTTACTCAAAAAGTGGTCTTGTCCTTTAACCAGTAGACCATGTTTCCGTCCCTCTTTAATAGGCACTCCTCTGCTAATGGCTTATTGTAATCTGTATCTTATTAAGTATGAAGACTAACATTCTTACCTTTAAAAAGATGACCCCAGCCAGGTGTTTGTCCAATCTCCTCTTAAATACCTCCAAGGAAGGGGACAGCACCGCCTTTTCTTCTCCGTAAGCTTAACGTTTTTCCACATGCTGCTGGTTCTTCCAACCCTGAATTTCCTGAGGGTCTGATCCAAAGCTAGTGGGGTTGGGAAGCCATTTGACCGCATTACATTTTCCTTCATTGCTCTGGGTAATCTTTGCCTCATGTGCCTCTGCTTATTTTCTTCTACTCTCCCATTCTCATCCCCATCGCCTCCTCTCTGTGCATAGTCTACCTCCCCTTACTCTCCATTGTCACTCTTACAGTTTCACTCCTTTGCTTAGTTCCTTGCACTCTAAACCTCTCCAGACCCACTTCTTTTAGGAATACTCTGTTCACTGCACCTGGTAACTCCCACACTTGAACTGTTCTTCCACAATAAGTCTCTCCCCTGTTTCTCCTAAGAAGGTAACACTTAAGAGCAAGGAATGTGCCTGACTCCCTAAAGTGTAAATAAATTGACAATTCTGTATTTTTTTTATTTAAAAATAATACTTAAAGAAGCAAACTGAGTGAGTTGACAGCTACTCGTGCAAAGTAATATCTGTTAAATGTGTTCGTCTTGATGCATGAGCCATAACAAACAGGAAAATCTTTAACAATATTAAGTAATGGGACTTTTGCCCAAGTTAGAACTATGGAATTGGACCCTTTTTCCCAAAGGACAAAATGTGTCAATAAAACAATCATCTTGATTAGCAAACACCCATGCGAATATGTTGCCGGGTTATGCTGCTAGGCGTCTTCATGTCATTTAACTAGGAAGCAAACTATCAAATTATTTAGAAACAATTGCTGTAATGATTCTTTTGGCCACCCCCATATTGCAAGAAGCAGCGTGACCCAATGAGCAGGCAAAAGAGCGATTTGTTAGCAGGCATCAATGCTGCAAGTAGGATTACAAATGTGGCATTTAAACAGACTGCCAAATGAGGTGTGTCATTGATCTCTGTAGTCATTGAAATGCACAGCACAGAACCTGTTCCCTGGCGATCCATCAAGGTGTCATTTAAGTGAATTCTGTTGCACTTGTTAAGGGGAGAGTGACTTGGCAACCAGAAGAAAAGAATGCACTGTGGGCATTGGCTGTGAACTGTCTCCTGTCAAAGAGCAGACTTAGGCCAACTCCATAGTAACTTCTTGGTTTTTGATGTAACAGTATAAAAATACACTGGAAGGATCAATAGTTGAGTTTTATCTTCTATTTGAAGAGAATACTCTTCCAGATATCACAAAAGTTAAAATTTTATACTTGAGATGCACTTGTGACACTTGGGTTTTTTTAAAGGAAAAGTTTTGCCTCCCATTCTATGCTATCACTGCTCTTTATCTTCAGTTTTTAAGTGATACATGTATAGTTTGGTAGGAAAGAGAGGGGATTTTCATGTGGTTAATGTGGTTTTTTTTTCACTTGAATACTGATGAACGTTGCCAGTTCTGAGGAGATGGAGTCTTTAATGATTGTGCTTAATATCATTTTAGTCCTAAAATTTTTAGAATGCACATAGGACTGTATCGTTCAGTAATCACATTTAGTAGTGATCCCAGACACCATGGTTTTTTGGTACTTAACTTGAGAGTCCTTAAGTGGGCCTGGTTTTCAGAGGAAATAGATTTCAAGTTGATTGCCTCAAAATAGGAACGTCAACGTAACTGGTCACTTAATAAACTTGACCTTCCTAGCTATAGATGATCTGCACTGTGATAGCCAGGTATGTGATTTTAATTAAAGGGAAGATGCTGAATTGAAGTCTCAAATAAAACATTGATAAATAATGTCCAAACAGGAAAAGTCCTTACCATCTATCTGGGTGCCTAATATTTGAAGCACACTTAACAAAAGAAAAGGCCATTTAACATTGTTTTACTAAATCACTGCAGACCCTGTAGGACCTAAGGCCACTTAGACTGCCATTTTTATTAATGGAAAACAGAAAAAATAAATGTTTTTTAATAAATAATTTGAAAAGGTCATATTTTTAGAAAGGATTTTCTAACAGTACACATTGTGATAAGGATAATAGCTTTCTCAGCCAGATATGTTTGCTAATGTTCCACTCAATGTGTTGAACTGTCATACTTATCTACATACAAAGGAATAAATAAAGGATAACCCAATGCTCCTGTCAACGTAAGTTTTCAGTATCTCAAACCAAACAAGACACCTGTCTAGATTCATCTAGGATACCATTAAAAGAAATGTTCATGCTGGGCTTTTACTGGTGCCAGTGGGAACCTATTTTTAAAAAGTCCCTTTTCTAGGATGTGGTGACCAAAAGAAGCCTAGAGGCATCACTCCTTTGTGAGAGAGCTCCGATTATTAACACTGTCATCAGATTAACCTAGCTGAATATCTTGATCACAAAAAACCTCACAGCAGATTTTTATATGGTGGACCATGCATAATTTATACTTGTAGTAACTAAAAGACATTTTTGGCAAGTCTTGCACAGCCCTACAAAAGTACAAGGGACACCTAAAAGACAAAGTCAATAGGAGTGGACAACTGTATCATAAAAGAACACAAAAGAATTTGAAATATGGCCTTCCCCCTTGGATCTATCCTACATTCCGTGTAACTCAACACATAAGGTCTTTTAACAATGAAACCTTTACAGAAGGGAGAGAATAATTGAAGTTGTGGGCAACTTCAATTACCCAGACATCTCTTTGGAGGAACACTCAGTCAACTCCGATCGGTCACATTCCTTCCTGACCTGAGTCAAAGAGCTTTTTCTGACTCAGGAGGTGCACGGACCAACCAGAAGTAATGCTCATTTTGACTTGGTCCTGGCCAAAGGAGATGACGTGGTTACTGACTTAAACATAGAGGGCAGCCTCGGTGATATTGACCATGAAATCATCATCTTCACTGTCTGTCACAAGGCAGACAAGTTAGAGAGCAGGATTGAAGTTTTAGACTTAAAAAATGTGAATTTCAACAAGCTCAGGCCACTAGTAAGACAAATACTGCAGGACCAGGGACTGGAGGCGAAAGGAGTACATGAAGAGTGGTTATTCCTTAAGGACATGATCCTTGAAGCCCAAAGGAAGTCCATTCCTACACAGAGGAAAGGTAGCAAAAGGGCTGGGAAGCCCTCTTGGCTCAACAGAGAAATCATGGTCCTCTTGAGAAACAAGAAAGAGGCATACAGACAACGGAAGCTTGGGACATGCCCTAAGAAGGACTATACAACAATGGCCCACACTTGTAGGGAACAGATTAAAAAGGCCAAGTTGGAAACCACTAAAATTAGCAATGGGAATCAAGGACAACAAGAAGTCCTTCTTTAATTACATAGGGAACAGGAGGAAAACAAATGAGAGTGTGTGGCCACTGCTCACCAACTCAGTATAGCTGGTTACCAGCACTTGGGAGAAAACTGAACTCCTGAATGACAACTTTGCTTCGGTTTTTCACTGGACCAAAGGGAAAATCACGCCAAATGAGCAGGGTAAGAATGACCACCTTCCTGCTATTGCTGTAGAACTGGTGTGTGATCAAGTAAAAAAAATTAGAAATATTAAGTCAGCAGGACTGGATGAATTTCATCTGAGAGTGCTGAAGGAGCTGGCCAAAGTCATCGTGGAACCCCTGGCAAAACTCTTCCAAAACTTGTGGCACTCCAGAGACATCCCTAAGGACTGGAAGAGGGCCAATGTTGTGCCCATCTTCAAGAAGGGGAGAAGGGAGGACTGGGATACTATAGACCAAATAGCCTAACTTCTATCCCAGGGTAAATCCTGGAAAAATTCATTAAAGAGTCTATGTGCGATAAGCTTGCAGAAGGTAGGATTCTGAACAATAGCCAGCATAGCTTCATCACAGGCAGGTCTTGTCTTACTGACCTCATCTCCTTTTATGATCAGGTAA